CCGGGTCCCGGGTGCCAGAGGGAAGCCAGTGCTGGCAGCCAGGGGAAGGAAGGCCTACTCTTGCACAAATTCCGTGCATTGAGCCCCTAGTGTATATATAAAGACACTTGAGTTTTTCTTTTCTGTTAATGCTGTTTGAGTCTCATTAAGTCTATGTTTCTACTTTGTTCTAAATATTGTTTTCCATATTTCAAACATCTAATTAAGTAAAAACAATGCAAAGAGAAATTATATACTATTTAGAAAACAATATAATCAAATGTTCACTCTGTCGTCATAATATTCTAAAAGGGGTGAAATTTTTAAGCTTGATTTCAGCTCAAAACTAAATGTTCTGCAACTCTAATTCCAACAAACTGGTGAACCTAGAAGAAATGGACATATTCCTATAAAAATACGACCATCCAAAACTCAATCAGGAAGAATAAAATAAAATGAATAGTCCAATAACTACCAATGAAAATAAAATAAAATAAATAAAACTTCCAACAAACAACAGCCCTGGGCCAGATAGCTTCACTGGGGAGTTTTACCAAACAGTTAAAGAAGAACTAAAACCTATCCTCCCCAGACTATTCCAAAAAATTCAAGAGGAAGGCACATTCTAAGCTCTTTCTATGAAGCCAACATTACCCTTATCCCAAAACCAGATAAAGACACTAAAAGGAAAGAGAATTATAGGCCAATATCCCTGATGAACATAGATGCTAAAATCCTCAACAAAATTCTAACAAATCGGATCCAGCATTACATTAGAAAGATCATACACCATGACCAAGTGAGATTTATTCTGGGGATGCAAGGATGGTATAATATCCGCAAATCAATAAACATGATACACCAAACGTCAGAGGGAAGGTGGAGTTGGGGGGTAGGGGTGGGGAGATCAACCAAAGTACTTGTATGCATGCATATAGCATAACCAATGAATACAGACAATAGGATGTGAGGGCATGTGCTGGGGGTGGGAGTGGCTGGGGAGAGGTTAATGGGGGAAAAGGGAGACATATGTAATACTTCAAACAATAAAGAATTTTTAAAAATCTGAATTTTAAAATAGGCAGAGGCACCCTTTATTTATCAAGCATAATATTACACATTAAAGATCAGTTAGTAAGAACTTTGTAGTATCCCGCAGGACTTTGCTAACAATGATCTTCGGAAATGAAAAAAAGAAATGCTCTGAAAAATATCAACCACCAAAATAGTACTGTTGGCACTGTGTTCACAAACATGGTCCCCACACCCAGGAGGTTGGATTTTGTTTGGGACTGGGTTTTTTGTAATAATGTGCTGGGATTACTAAAAAAAAGAAAAGAACCCTTTTGAGTTTTCCCTAAAATAAATGAAACTTAATTCAGTTTCCTGCAACACACACACACACACACACACACACACACACACACACACACATTCTCAAAGGCAGAAGACTTAAACAGACATACAAATAGCCAACAGCCAACAGGTACATAAAAAGTACTCAACATTACTAATCATCAGGGAAATGTAAATCAAAATCACAATGAGATATCACTTGATGCCCATTAGAATGGTTATTATCAAAAAGTGAAAAGATAACAAGTGTTGGTGAGAATGTGGAGAAAAGGGAATCCTTGTGCACTATTGATGGGAATATAAAATGGTGCCACCACTATGGAAAACAATACAGCAGTTCCTCAAAAAATATAACTACCATATGATCTAGCAATCCTACCTCTGGGTATATGGCCAAAGGAAATGAAAACAGGACCCAAAAGAGATATCTATAGTCCCATACTGATTGCAGCATTATTCACAATTACCAAGATATGGAAACAACCTAAGTGTCTTTCAACAGGTGAATGAATAAAGAAGATGTGAGGTAGGTAGATAGATAGATAGATAGATGATAGATAATGAAATATTATCCAGCCATGAAAAAAAAGGAAATCCTACATTATCACAAATCCACATTTGTGATAATGTAAATGAAACTTGAGGGCATTATGCCAATTGAGATAAGTGAGACAAAGACAAATACTGTGTTACTTATATGTGAAATCTAAAAAAGCTGAACTCACAGAAACAAAGTAGAATGGTTAACGGGCTGGGGCAGGGAAATGGGAAGACTGTAAAAGGGTAAAGACTTCTAGTAATAAGATGAGTAACTTCTAAAGATCTACCGGTAATGCACAGTATAGTGATTATAGTTAAAAATTCTGTATTATATACTTGAAATTTGCTAAGTGAATAGATCTTAAATGCTCTCACCATAAAAAAAGAAATGGTAATTATGTGATGTGATAGAACATTAGATATTACTATGGTGATCGTTTTGTATACATCAATGTATCAAATCAACAAGTTGTGCACCTTAAATATACACAAGATTACATATTAAAGATATCGCAATAAAGCTAGAGAAAAATGGCCTTGGAAAAAAAGAAAAGTGTTGTAGATACCTATACCATATGTACATACCTGTCTGCATTCATGTTAGACTGAGAGTTTAGAGAGTTATCCAACTCATTCTCACTTTCCTCTGACTGGCTGTTAACAGTTTCTTCTTCTTCTTCATCTATTTCGTTAAGAGCCTTTCTCAACATAAAAATAAGAATAACAACACAAGTTGGTTATATGCACACTCATCCTTTTTTTTTTCTTTTTTTCATAACAGATGAGAGGTCCCTCTTTCTAAGGCTACTCCATGTGTTTTACAACCCAAATCCTCTCACCTCCTCCACTACACCAATTTCCCCTTCTCCTCCTCCATCTTCAACCTCTCCCTCTGTACTGGCTTCAGCTCATCCACATTTAAATGTGACCAAGTCTCTCCCATCTTATCCTGACCCTATTCCCCCTCAAGCTACTATTTATCTTCTCTCTTTCACAACCAAACTTGTAGAAGAAGTTGTCCCCCTCTCCCATTCGCCATCTGTGCCCTGCCACCTTGCTTCTGCACTGCCACTCCACTCAGACTGCTCTCTACAAGTCAACATCAAAACACTGGTTCTTAAATCTAATGGATATTTTTCAGTCTTTGCTTTCCTTTATTTCTCTAACTCATTTAGAGAAATGAGATATTAATGACCACTCATGTCTTTCTTGATCCACGCCTCCTTTTAATTTCCATTATACCGTATTTTCTTGGTTCTTCTATTCTCTTGTCTGTTCCTTCCCAATCTCCTTTACTGGTGCTTTTTCTAGCCCTCCCTCATATCTGATATGACTCCAGGTCCTTCCTTTGGACCCTTATTCTCCTCTCATCTGACTCACTTTCTAAATGACTGTATTTCATTTCAACGCTGCAATTACAAGTCAAAAGCTATTAATTTGCAATCCTCTATCTTTCTTGAGCCCTGGACATTTATATCCAACTGCCTAAATGCCTAAAAAATTTCAATGGTAAATGATCCTATACACACATTCAACAGCTCTAAAACAGTTCACCCTCAGCCTCTACAGTCATTCCTACCAGATTACCTAAGACCATAAACAGTATCACCATTCATTCAGATGCTCAAGCAAGCAACTGGGAATTATTTGTCTTTCTCATTTGTCACATCCAATCAGCCACCCAATCCTGTCAATTCCACCCCTTTTTTACTCTCACAACCCATTCCTCTTCCCTTCAATCTTCTTCCCTACTGCCACTGCTTTGGGACAGGTCCTCACCACTTCTCACTAAGACTCCAACCTGAGTCTTCTAACCAGATCCTCTCGCCAATTTTGTCCCTCCCAGTCCATCTTCCACACAACAGCCGATTTCATCATGTCTCAGTTCTCAACATCCTTTAGTGCAGAGGTGGGGAACATTTTTCTGCCAAGAGCCATTTGGATATTTATAAAGTCATTCTCCGGCCATACAAAATTATCAGCTTAAAAACTGGCCTGCTATATTTCGTCAAACATTTCATTAAATCACCCCAAATGCCTTGGCAGGGCCAAACCAAATATTCCGAGAGCTTTATACAGCCCTTGGGCCAGACGTTCCCCACCCCTGCTTTAGTGGCCCTACTTTTACTTTCATAACCTAACTCCATCCTGTCTCTCTAACCTCAGCTCTTGCTACTTCTCCCCATGATAGAGTCCACGACCATCTGAAAGCTATGGTTTTAATAAGTGCCAAAATATAAATGGTTTTTACCTAGGGACATAGTAATGGGTTTTGGTTATTTAAAATATATGTAACATTCTATTGAATTGTCTTTGTAAGAAAACAGTGTACTTTACAAGTCTTTAATTATTCTGGACCTTATAATTCCCTAGGATCATCCCTCTAATTGATGATTCTCTTTTCTCATAGAAGATATGAATAACGAGGAAATTGCATTAAACAGATACTGAGTCCTAATCATTCATAAGAAGTTTTATTTATTTTTTAATATATCTTTATTGATTTCAGAGAAAAAAGGAAAGGGAGAGAGACTGATACATCAATGATGAGAGAGAATCATTGATCAGCTGCCTCCTGCACTGGGGATTGAGCCCACAACTGGGCATATGCCCTGACCGGGAACCGAACCATGACCTCCTGGTTCATAGGTTGACACTCAACTACTGAGCCACTCCAGCTGGGCCAGAGTTTTATTTTAGTATTAAGTTCTCCATGGGCTTTTAAAAAATGTTTTAATTGATTTCAGAGAGAGAGAAAGGGAGAGAGAGAAATATGAATGTGAAAGAGAAACATCCATCGCTGCCTCCCGCATGCCCACTGCCAGAGATCGAGCCCACAACCTAGGCAATGGACCCTGACCGGGAATCAAACCAGCGACCTTTTGGTGCATGGGATGACAACCAACCAACTGAGCCACATTGGCCAGGGCTTCATGGGATTTTAAAAAATGTTTACTATCTCAAAATTCTAAACATTTTGATTAATTAAGAGTTCTAATTAAGTTAGGATACAGCTAGTTAATGTTTTACTGCTATAATTGTCCCATATAACTAGTCAATAAATGCCAAGTTTCCTGGGTAGCTCTTTTTAAACATACTAATACATTAGAAGAACAACCATAGCATGTATATTCTATTTAACAAAAAACACTCTAAGCCAACTCAGATACCTTAAGAAATTAATTCAAGATCAAACACCTAGTAAGTAGCAAAATATGAACACAGATCCAACTGACTTCAAAGAGGAAGACTCCTTGCTGTTTCCATACTGGCAGATGGTGGCAGCAGTCTTATGGAGCTAGGCAGTCTATATTTGGATGTCATCTCTGATGCTAACTAGCTATGTGATCTTGGGCAAGTAACTTAGAAATTTTCTGACCTGAGTTTTTTTTATCTGCTAAATGACGATAATAGTGCCTATCTCTAGGTAAGTGCTCAGTATGTGTTAGCTATTATTATCCAGCCCTATCTAGTTTAGTACAAACACTATACTCACAGAAGGTGCAATATGATTAAGAACAATTCCAACAACCACAACTTTGTATTTGTTGGCATTTAAGCTTTTGAAATGCTTACCACAATACCTGCATCAACTTAAACTTAATTTCGGCATGAGCATTTTGGAAGTAAGCAGAGCACATTACCTGAGGCTCCACAGCAGAGTCATCAAGGATGGCCTGGGTGACGGGGTCTTGATTTAGCACAATGGGCCCTTGGGAGGAATCAGGAGCCACTGTTACATTCGGAAACCCTGCAGAAGGAAAATGCCGTGACGACTTTGTTTCATTTCACTAAAGTAATTTTACAAGCACTAAACACTTCCATAGGTTTGTATCAGGATCTGAAAATCTTTTATGGCAACAGCAGCTCACTCTTATGCAGTACTTACTATATACCAGGCGTAGTTCTAAGTGCTTTTACATATATTAAATAATTTTACCCTGACAAAATCCTATGAGATTGTTACTATTATTATTTTACAGATCAATAAACTGAATCTCAGAAACCTGAAGCAACTGGACCAGAGTCGCACTGATAATAGGCTGAGCCAGGATTCAAACCTTAAACTAAAAATTAATTATTTCTTTTTAGGGGTTAAAATAAAAAATGGATTATATACTCATTATGAATAATACTGTATTAGGAGGTGGGAAGTTCCCCTCAGAAAGAGATATGTTGCTTTAGATTCAAATTAAGTTTTACTCAACTTACATATAAACAGATACTTCAATTATATGATAACTTAGTATTAATAAACAAAAAATCAAGTCCTATTTTAAATTATAAAATCTTGTACACTGCACCACAAAATATTTTAGTAGATAATAACACTACTTTTTCTTAGTTGAGTAATTTGTAATAGTTAAGATTATCAGTGAAAAGCAAACAAATTATAATGAATGTATGCCTAATAACTCTTATATGCTATCCACTCTAGAATACTTGTAATATAAATAATATAATGCCTGAAAAAGATATTTTAAATTCTTCCAAATAGCCATTTGTGCCTATAAATTAAAAAAAAAAAAGAAGCTTTTGTTTGAATTGAATACTTTACCTGTGCGCCTACGAGGAAAATCAACAAACAGATCTTTGGTTGCAGCCATCAAATGATCAGATTTTTCCAATGCATCCTGCATCTGGTATTGATCAGAAAGAATCTACAAATATAAATGATAAATATTATTCAGAATATATATATTCTTATCAAATCACAAAGGAGAAATCCATACAAAGGCACAAAGCATAAAAATAACCATAGGTCACTACTTACTAAAATCCTTCAATGGCTATATCCTTAAGTACCAGTA